ATACAAAGGAATGATCCATAACTGGTTTCTCTGAAGAATTAAATGGCATTTGTGTAAGTAATGTAACAGCAAGTAGAGACTGAAGACAGGGATACACTTAAGATGTTTCAGAACCATTCTGATAAAAAAATAATAAATGAACTGGGAGTGAACTCAGAGGTAGAACACCTTCCCAACATACAGGAGCCCCTGGGTTTGATCTCTAGAACCACAAAAAATCATCATCATCAAGAATCTAAAGCCACAATGAAAACAGAAAAGAACTTATATTCAGGTGTCACAAAAAAAAAAAAAATCAGAAAATCTGGACTCAAATGGGAACTAGGGAAAGGCAGGCAGAATGACTCACAAATTTATGTTTCTTCCTCTTTTTTTTTTTTTTTTTTTTTAAGTACTGGGGATTAAACTCAGGGCACTCAACCACTGAGCCACATATCTAGCCCTGGTTTGTATTTTATTTAAAGACAGGGTCTCATTGAGTTGCTAAGCATCTCACCATAGCTGAGGCTGGCTTTGAACTCCAGATCCTTCTGACTAAGCCTCCAGAGCCGCTGGGATTACAGGCCTGCTCCACCATGACCAGCTCCTCTATTTTTAATGAAAAGACTTATGTCTTTCTAGAAATTGAAAAGTGAAAAGTATAAAGTAATTGGAGAAGAAAACAGAGAGAAAAGTTGGGGAACACACTGCATATTTGATGATCAAGATATCTGGATAGAAATATCTATTTAGTGGGCAGGTGAATCCATTGAATTCCCACTGGGAGTTTGTGCCATATTCTTTTTCCCATCTGATTTCATACTGAGGAAGAGATCTTTTCTTTTCTCCTTTACCTAACCAAGTAATTTCAAAACAAAGAAAGGAGTATATTAAAATCATGCAGAAATAGTTATTAACTAATACAAATTAATTATACACAGAACAATCATACCTTTATTTTAAAATCACTGTAAAATGAAAATTAATTATAAAATACACATATTTTGAACATCCCAGATAATTAATTTGAGATGTATAAGACTGATGAGACATTAAGGATAGTATTTATATAGTAAAAGAAACCATTTTTTATGTATGTATATAGATCTAAAGAAATTTAATGCAATAGTTCAAATATCTCAGTGATGGTCTAATAATACAATTTTTTGAAGAAAATTCAGATCTAAAAACATCAGAAAAGACAGGTCATAAGGGCAACTACTATATCACAGAATTTAAGTGTGATCATTGACCAGACTCAATTTAAAACATAGCTAATCCTTGCTACACTGATCTGATAATTGTTTTTATAATTTTTTTCTTGAGATATAATAGATCTTCCACTGCATTTATGTAGACAACAGAGATACTTGAAAGGATTCATTATATACTAGTGTCACTAATTTCTATCAGAAACATGATTAAGCCATGAATATTCTCTCATTTTAGAAAAATAAAACAAAAAATAGAAAAACTGCATTCTTTGTAGAAATATGTTTAAGCAAATTATCAAATTCATCTACATACATGAACCATGTAAAGCAACACAATAAAAGACACAAAATAAGACATTTAAAAAAAAAAAGGTGGGATATAAAAGAATAAGATATAGAGGAAAGAGTAGAAATGTTTGTTAATTAAATTCATAGGGTATTAAAACAAAAAATACATTCTGATAAAATGTTAAGATATAAAATAATCAAACTGATTTTCCCCAAAAAATATTACTTGATATTTTATCCTTTGTGTTCCTTTAGTTAGGTATATGTCAAATTGTATCTTATATATTTTCTTCAAACATAAATGAACAACTTGTTAAATGAATTAGCTATCTAGAGAAAGTCTCTTAAGACTTATAAAACCTTTTAAATCGACCAGACATGGTGGCACATGCCTGTAATCCCAGCAACCTGGGAAGCTGAGACAGGAGAATTGCAAATTCAAGGTCAGTATCAGCAATTTAGCAAAACCCTAAGCAACTTAGCAAGACCCTGTTTCAAAATAAAAATAAAAAAGGCTGAGAATGTTTGACAAAGTGTCCCTGAGTTCAAGCCCCAGTACCAAAAAAATATATATATCTTTTAAATTAAATGCTATTATTCACAACAGCCAAGATATGGAAACAACCTAAGTGTCTAGCAACAGATGAATAAAACAGACACAGAAAAACAAATACTGCCTGATCTCACATGTGGACTCTAAGAGTCAAACTCAAAAGTACTGTAGAAAGGTGGTTACCAGAAGCTGAAGAAGTGTAGATAAGGAAAGGGGGAGAGGTTGTTCAAAGGATACAAAGTTTCAGTTAGACAAGAGGATAAGTTTTGGTTATCTATGTATCTCAAAATTGCTATTTTAAGTGTTCTCAGGGCCACACCCACACACATAAATGACAAGCAAGTGAGGCGATGTTAGCTTGATCTTTCTACAACTGTATAGACTTATCAAAACATCACATTATATTCCATAAATACATACATATAATGATTTGTCAATTAAAAATACATAAAAAGAAACAAATTCAAGGAGGGGCAGTTAAATGCTTGATAATTTTAAAAGGGCAAAGGAAACACGAATATAAAGGTCAGATTAGAAAAAGGAAGAAAGGTAAAACAATAATCCAATAAAAAGATGCTGGGGAAGACTGAGACTTTGAAAACTAGTTTTCATGACTTTAAAAGAAGAAACTGTTCAACTATGAGGATGATGAGAAATATATTTACTTAACTTGGTTCCATGCAAAGTTGCTGATCAAATCTCTCCATATTTCATCAATGCAAGTGAAGCAGTGATGGTCATGCTACATTCACATTTAATAGAATATTTTTTAAGAATCAAAATAATCATAGGTATAATGTTTATGTATAGATGTGAATGTGCACATTAAAAAATACAAAAAACAGGGGGGAGGTCATTTTTTTTTCTTTTTTGTAGTACTGGGAGCTGAACCTAGGAACATTCTACCACTGAGCTACATCTTCAGACCTTTTTAATTTTTGAGACAGGCTTAATAAAACTTAATAAAAGTTGCCCAGGCTGACCTGGAACTTAAGACCATCCTGTTTCAGTTTCCTGAATAGCTAGGATTATAGACATGCACCACCATACCCAGCTCACAAGAGTTTATTAAAGTAGTAGGTCAAACTCAAAAGGAAAGCAGAGTGTTTTTCTTTTAAAACCACTATTTTCTACAGTGTCTTTTCCTTAATAAATAAAAATAAATGGCCTTATTCTGTCATGTCTCTCATTCTTCTTCTCTGAAATTTTGACCAGCAGAAACTGCAGTACAACGCAGTCGTTCCTGCTGTAGAGTACAGTGAGTTCTGAAATCATACTGCTGACCTTCAGTCTCAATCCTGACATTTATTACTGTGGGGCCTTGGGCAAGTTAATTAAATCCTTGGTGCCTGTTTCCAACATCTGTAAAATGGGGATAGTGAAACGCACCTACATCATTCTTGGCTTTGGTGTAAAAATTGAGATAACCCACAAAAACACTTAGAAAAGAGCCTGACCCATAGAATGTGCTCAATTATTAATACTTATTATATTGTATTATATTATATATTTGAGATGCCTGCTGACGAGTCTGACTACAAACTAAGCTGGAGGTTCTACAAAGCAGTGATAGTTGCCAAACCCCACAGGATACTGCTTTGATATATGACCCACCACAGAGATCAAATCTGGCTTCCTGAGTGGTCTGAAAATTATTCCCAACATGTCACAACAGGAAATGGAAAGCCTATCACCAACATGACCTGGACAATTGCCAATTTTCTAACATAAACCCAAAACCTCAACAAATCTGTTCCCTTGGACTGTATGTATCCAAAATGAGTTAAATATTTATATTCCTAATGAGTTATATATGATTGACAACACACATTAAAGCACAATTTTCAAGTAAAGATAAATACAATAGATTCATAGTGACCTCTTCAAATAATTTGACCCATAGTTCAAGTAAACAATCAGGCTTTTAGGTAGGAAATAGGGAGGAAGAGGTGGAAGAGGAATGCAATCTTTAATAGATTCTGCCAACAGTAACTGTGTCTAATAACTAAAGGTCGTATAAGTATATTCAATTTGAGAAAATACCTATCTATAGGTCACACACATGGTTTTTAAGCCATACTCCTATAATAGTAACAGCAGTAGCACCTTTTAAGATGAAAGTCAACAGGACACACACAAGCATTTAAACCCCCTTACGTACTCTTGAACTAAACAAATACTATTATATTGTAGTGACTTAAAAAGGCATGTAGAACTGACAGTTAAATTATTTCCATACTGACTTCATCAAGAAACTAAACTTCTAAATTAATTCTTTATGCATAAAAGGAAAAGCATTCGAGTCAACAAACAATTATATAAGCCACAATGATGCTGCAGGAACTGAGCTGCATGGCTCAAAAAGTTTGCTTGTAGAAGTGAACTTCTGAATCTCATATATGTGTATATACATGGTCACTACTGCTTCAGTTATAAACAGGAATTTCTTTTCAAAGGAAAACAAATGTCAGCCTTTGATACGCATCATGTATATGTAATTATTTTCTATGTGCTCCACAGTTTTAAAATGGCATACAAATAAAGAATACCACAGAACCACATGGCATTGGCTTCTGTGGTTCAACAAGTTTTAACATCAAAACACACACACACACACACACACACACACACACACAAGTTTATATATACACAAATAAATCTAAAATAGAAAAACTGAAATATAATGTCTAAATTTGGGCAAATTTAGCGAAAGTAAAATCCACTAAGTTCAAAATTAATCTTTTCTTGGGTCATACTTCCATTCTATTCAAGTTCTTCGACGTCCTGAAGAAAAAGGGTGAAATTTCAAGTAATGAATGAGGGTACATCCGTAACCAGGATGAGTTTAACATCACTCAGGTATATCTGTTGCAAAATAAACCATCATGAGAGTCCTAGCCTCACAGTTGACCCCAAATCCGTGAACATGACAGCTAACGAATCTTCGCTGGTACAGTTCAACTCACCTCGCAGCTCAGAGGCATAGCAAAATCGGTGGCTGTGTTTTGGGCTGCCTTTGGATTCTGCATCTGTTTCAAACCTAAAACCTAGCTACCCAGGGAGCTTCACCTGCAGAAACCCTGACACAACGAAATCGCTATCGCGATTTAAAAGGTACCTGGTGTTTTGTACTGAAGAGATTACGTAAATTTTGCCAGGTGGGACTTTTTTTTGTCCTCCTTCAAACACGGGAGCAGCATTAAGTTAAATCCTCTTGCTTTGCAAGGCCCTAGAGTCAACCTGCTTCTGTCCAAGATTAAAATTAAAACCTCCAACCACACTCCCCTCTTAAAAGACTAAAATTGAATCCATGCTCCAATTCAGGGGTAAAATAGAATAGCTTTCAAGCCACCACACCCTCCTTCCTCATCACCCAGCCCGATTCCAGGCCGCGGACGAACTAGGACTGTGAGAAAGGAGCTGCAGGTTCCGGACCGGACCGGCCCTGACCCACGGAAGGGGAAGAGAAGCAGCAAGAGTCCGGAGCCCGACAGGTACGTCCCCGGCGTCGACGCGTGACGTCACCGCGTTGACGTGAACGGCCGTTCAGCGTCCAGCCGCCCCTACACATCCTCCTCAGGCCACTCGCGGAGCCTCGTCGGCGCCTATTGGGCGGCGTGGGAACAGTGGGCGGGCTGGGGCTGGGTGGCGGGGAGGAGGAGGAGGAGGAGAGGGCGAGCTGGCTGCGAAGCCCTGGCTCAGCGATCACCTCACGTCACTCACGCATTCTTGCTTGCCCCTGCGGTGACCTCGGTAAAGGACCGGAGGAGGTCTCCAGCGGGAGGCATTTTCAAAAGGCTGCCGGCGCGCTCACTCTGGTGTCATTGCAAACTCGCATTCCACTCAGGCGAGAGACCAGAGTGCCCGGGAGCAGCGCGTGGGACACCAGAGAGCCCTGGGCGCAGCAGTGAAAAGCCAAAGCAGCCGTCAACGAGCTCTGGTTCTCAAACAGATCCAGAGACGTGGGCCTTGGAATTTAGACCTGTACTAAATATCTGTGCCTCTAGGTCTCGGACAGAGTAATGGCGCTGATTATGCACCCAACGCACACGGGAGGAAAACTGATAACCTAAATTTAGCAATACGCACTTTCAAAATTAACGCTTGAAAAGTATTCTGGGGAAATATATAATCTGAATTATTTCTGTTTACAATTATATCCTGTCACAGAATTCAGTATGCCTGCTCCCCTTGCTCAAGGAGCTATATTCCCATGCAGGGCGAAAAACTGCAGGGGGAAGAATGCTTAGGCTACAACTGTAGCTTGCCACTTAGTTTGGTGAGCAGGTGCAGACTTTGCACTTCTTGAGCAGTATGCGTACCACCGCTGGGTGGCAGAATTAAGACCTGTGAATGTTGAGTGGCTTATCTATAATTAATATGTTATGAATATATATAATACTTAATACCAACGGCTTTTTGTAGTAGTACCTTGTTAATATTATGTATGTCTTAGTCTTTACAAATTTTCTATATTCACATACATATTCTCTATCAAATTTTTATCATAGGTTAGCAACTTGTCTGTTTTAACAAATGAGTTTTTTCCATCCTTTTTGCCGGGGTGGGGAATTGGGGGATGTTGTATATTTTCAAACATGTCTGGGGCTTCAAAGCTAGCATAGTGCCCAAGGTGGCAGTGGGTGTGTTCACAATGCAGTCAAGCTGCTTATGATTGCTTTTATGACTTATATTAAGGTAGAATTGTGAAACCATCATACTAGAGAAGCATAATTTTCTTTCATTTTAAACATTGTTAGGTAAATTTCTTAGCTTCTTTTTAGAAAATGTGGGAAATCAAGCAAAAATTTTTCTAAACAGTGAAATTTTTCACAAGAGAGTTGCAGATGTTTTATGTTTTCTTTTCTCATTGTAGATATGTAGCCTAATTTTGGAAAGAATCACCTAGATTTTGATTACAATAGACAGTAGTCAGTCAGTCAGTCATCTGCTTTCTATAAAGATGAAAAATAATTCTTTTACAGTAGTGTTAGTTCCTACTGGTGGATTATCCCAAGGTAACTTTTATGTGGAAAAAAACAAGTCTACTTGTATATTTGGTTTGCTGTAAAACTAATTATAGTATGCACACTTTATTCACCTCTAAGAACTTGTTTTAAAATTCATACTTTCTGGTGTACAGAATCATCACACTAGAAGTTCCAATCTTCACTTTGCATCAGAACCCTTTAGGGAGTTTCAAAAAAAAATCTTTGCTTAGGCCCCCTTCCCAAAAATTCTGTTTTATTTGGCTTGGGTATTAGGGAATTGAACCCAGGAAATTCTAGCACTGAGCTATATCTCCAGCCCTTTGCCATTTTTATTTTTTATTTTGAGACAGAGTCTCACTAAATTGCTGCCACTGGCCTTGAACTTAACGATTCTCCTGCCCTAGCCTCCTGAGTTGCTGGAATTATAGGTGTGCACCACAGTGCCCAACTTTAATATATATTTTTATAAGCCCTCAGTATACAGGAAGTATTTGAAGACATAGCAAAATAAATTATCCAGTTTCTTCTACTTTAAGTCACAGGGGCTTTGTTGTTGTTGTTGTTAGGACTGACCTTAAGCAATAATAAGAAAAACTCAACCAATATTCAAATTAGCTTTACTTCTCCCTGATTACTCCCCATGTGCAACCCCCCAACCAACCAAATCCTTAAGACCTCAAGGAAGAGAAAAAGAAGACAAAGATTTAACTCACAGTAGTAAGAGTTTAGCAATTTTAATCAGATCTAGGATAGCTTGTTTAGTTGTGTTGCTGGTAACCTAGCAGATAAAGAGAGAAATGAATGGTGGACATGAGCAGCGAGGGAAAGTGGGTTAAACCTTACCCTCTTGTCAGTAATTTTGTTCTGGGAATGTGGGTTGGATTTCTTAGAACAGGCAAAAAAAAAAAAAAAAAAAAGTCCAAAAGAGCACTGGAAATCATATCTCAGTGTCTCCTAGATTCTTACTTATAGGACCCAGTCAAACTTCTCTGAACTTTTCTTCAAGTGAAAAAACGAGATGGGATTATTTCCTTTAATAACAATATTTTTTTAAATTTCAACAGAAAAGGAGAGAAACAAGCAGGGCATAAATCTGCCTCATATATTTGTGAATTGTTTCAAAACAAGAACTTTTACTGCTTATGTGTCATACACTTGGAAAAGGGAATAAAAAGGATAAAGAGACTCTTAAGAGTCAAATGAGGTGGCATGTGCCTGTAATCCCGGAGGCAAATTGAAAGTTTTTGGCTTCTTTTTCACTTAAGCCTAGGAGTTTGGGGCTAGTTGGGCAACATAGACCCAGTTAAAATAAAAACAAACAAAAAAGACTATCAATGAAATAGTAGTGAAGTTCTAATCTAGATTTGTCTCCAGATTCTACCAGCCCCAGGGAAATAGTTGAATAATGACCTTTTCTTTTCTTGTCCTTTGTCTTTTTCACAAAGATAATATCAAGGTATGTTGAATAGCTTTGCATTCCTGTTTATATTGGAGGCCTTTGACATGGCAAATAGTTTTCCAGTTCCATGTGATTCTTTTCTATAAAATCCTTCCTGAGCCTCAGGTGGAGATTCACATATTCAAAACATTCTCACAAAGTGATTCCTTTCTCATGTTCTGCACAGGTAAAGATTCAGCATTTCATTTTATTCTTACTAGAAATATAGTATGATCACCCTCTCCAGCTAGCCAACTCTCCTCACTGTGAGCCCTTGCAGGTGACCCAGAAAGCAAGAAACTCAAGAACCAACTTTTTTTGTTGTTTTTGTTGTTTTATGTTTTGTTTTCATGTTCCTGGGTACTGCTTTAATACAATTAGCATATTATTTTATTTGTAAATAAGCACCAGTTAACTAGTCCCTCTAGAAACCTTAGGTATACTAGTAAGTTCTTAAGAAAACCCACTCTTCACTGTGCTAAACCTATTGCCAGCCCAGCCCATGTGTCAGTTTTTCACAGAATCTAAGATCAGAAACTGTGAGGTCTTGAGGACAGAAATACTTTCAAGAGCAGTGACTGGGTAAGTCCACTATACAACCACCACATGCAGCAGAGTTCAAAGCCAGAGGTTATATGAGAGTGTACACTTAGAACATAGAGCTGCCAAGGCTAAGTGCAGTCACCTGCCAGCTTCTACTCTGTCCTCTGAAATACTACTTTGCTTCCCATCACAACTGAGCACCTTAACACTACTTGCCTGAGGAAAGGCGTCTTTGCTTAATGGCCCACCCAGAAGCACCCCACTGCTGACTTGGACACCAATGAGTGTCTATAACCTCAGCTGAGCCATATGGTTTACACCTTCAAGCCAGGTTTGGACACTCGCACCTCATGCTCTTCTTCATAGGTCCCTCACATCAACCAGTCTCCTTCTTAAAGAAGTTTTCTGCCCAGTCTTGGGTCATCTCTAGGTACAGTCTGGGCTGATGAGGCAGATAATCCAGGTGCAGACAAAGCTGGCTGGCCTTTTCTTGGGAATGGCCCCCATTAAGTTGCCATGCATTGAAAGAGGTGAGGATGATCTAGGGCCCCACAGTCAGGGCTCCCTCAGGGCTGTCTCATAATACTTACCATTTAGTCTGTTCCAAGTACTGTGTGTTCCAGGACCCTGATGGAATGTAGGGCCAGTGTCAATGTAGCCAGGTGCCACACTAGGAATGGACAATGTGGTTGTTGTCTTCACAAAAGTTCTTCACAGCTTACAGTCTGATGGGAGGAGCCAAAGGAGAAAGGGAAGGGCTGGAGGCAAAGCAAATGCACCTACCCTTGAATCCTGCAGCCTGGAGGCGTTGGGTGTGGCCATTCTCCACCAGCAGAGAGGGAAGAGTATCTAGGGAGTGTTTCCGGTTGGTGTGAGGAGAAGTGTCCAGGCCTCCAGGGCCTTCAGGTGTGAGTCACAGATATGAAAAAGTGGGAGGCTCTTGCCCATGTTCTTATATCTGTAAAATGCACTACGAGAGCCATATTTGGATGTTATACCATGGGACGGGTCCAGAAGAGCAGGTACAAGGTCATCTGAGGGTTCTAAGATATCATCAGCCATGCCAGGTGGGTAGCAGAAGAGAACCAAGACACCAACAGTGGCTTGCCTTGAGTTGGGTCATGCGCTCCAGCAGCACGTTGGTTGGGGATTCAGAAGCTGTAGGGCCCCAGCTTTGGATAGAAACGGGAACCCCAGCCGTTGGGGTGGGGGCAGGGCTGGCGGGGAGAAGGGGAGTAGCTGATCCGGACCTCGGGGTCGCAGTGTGGCACCAAGATGTGGTGCTAGTTAGTGTGGTGGCCTTCACACTGCGGGCTCCTGTAGAAGTCGAGCAGGTCCCAGTAGACCTGGTTCGGGGGCGCTAGGCCTGCCTCCTCGGGGACCTACCTTTTCGATCTGCTAGGGTCCCAGGCGCTGGACTGCAGGCCCAGGGCGCTGGGTGGGGGGCTCATCCCGAGGCTGCTCAAAGGGCTCCTACTCTGGGCCTGGGCCCGGATCCCAGGGCCTAACTAATATTTTCTCTTTGCATATTGAGCTCG